TTACAGTGACAATGCAAGTATCATTGCTTAGCAATGGTGAGTAAACATCTGTTGCTAGGCAAAGCGAGTAAATAGCTGTTGCTAAGCAAAGCCTACAACATTACAGGCAGTGACGTGTTTTCTATGCTGTCCAACACAGTGTTAAATATGAGGAAGATATGGTGATAAGGTGTGGTGTGGTGCTGCAAACAGTAATTGTCGGTACTATACTATTAGTCTTCAATTCTTCAAACTCAAGTTCGTTTGTGTAGACTGTGCTACTATAATAAATATTACAGAACAGTTCAACAAGTGGTTGTCTCTTCATATAATGACATCCCACAGTTTGTTGCAGATATTTCTCAGTCATCAGTCAACATCTGTGGAGTGTTTCTGGATGCGGCTAAAAAAATCCATAACCTGTACGCTTCTGAAATGAATTCAGTTACTATTATTGCAACAAATATTACTGCTAAGCACAATTTTAAGTTAGAACCTGTTAATATTACTTTTCATCATCAAGAAACACATCATACAAGATTTATTATTGTGTAAAACATGACGAGTTTCATTTTTTGAAGTTATCACAAAACTTGTTTTTAAAGGGAACTGTTTATATACATTTAATTAAAAAATTCACTAGACAAGAAAAATATTTTAATAATTATAAATCCACAACACCACTAATCATTAATGCGAAGTGGTATATAAAGATTGTCTGAAGGTATTACAAATAATGTTCCATCAGAAGTGATGGATTGAATTGTACGAAGTTCATGCATGAACTTGCTGCCCATCCTCTTGGGTTTGATCTTACTGGTTAAAAAATGTTAAACTTGATCAGTATAATTTTTTAAATCCATAGTTGTTAGTTCCTGTGTAGTTCTAAATAACCTTCACATTCTACTGTGTCAGCATTTTAACACTTCGCGGACCGGACGCCCAGTCCTAGGCGTTTGGGTTTTAAACGTGGCAGACCGGTCGCCTAGATTTAGGCTTTTAGGACACGTTATGTTGCAACACACTATTTCTTGCTTTGATGGCCATGTGTCTGTAAAATTACTGCGTAGCTGACCTTAGGAATGTTTGTTTTCTGAGTGAGCAACGTGACCACACTCTATTTCCCTCTCACTCTAAAGAAAAGTCCCTTTGTTCAAGTCAAAGCTTCTATGTGTGAAGCAAGATATTCTCAGCGTCAACATGGCTCAGAGATGAAAGCAGTTGAAGGTCGCGCGAGCTCTCGGAGAAGAAGAAATCTGTGATTTGATCTCCGATGAGTTATCTGACTTGCCAACTGTTTTGTCTTCTGATAGCAAGGGCAGTGTCAGTGGCAGTGACAGGGGCCCCCAAAATATTGTGACCAGAAGAGAAAGTGAAAGTGACAGTGAGAGCTCCGATGAAAGTGCGAGTGCTAGCATTGCGGGGACAGCCACATCGGGTAAAGTGGACAAAACACCCACTTTGGGAAAGTTTACTGGTGATCCAGGGGTGAGACAAATGTCATCGGACCCTACACAAGTGTCTGAAGTAGCTGAACTGTTTTTTGGAGATAGTTTCTTTGACATGTTGTGTCAGGAGACCAACAGATACTATCTCCAACACCGTGAGGCGTATGACAGTACCTATAAGGTGTTGAAGTGGGTGGATGTCACTTCAGCAGAAATGAAAATTTTTTTGGCAATAATCATTCTAATGGGGTTTACAAAGAGGGATAATTTGAAAGACTATTGGTCCACTGATCCATTTTTAGAAATTCCCATTTTCGGCAGAGGGGAATGTTTCCAGAAGTATCACACTCTGGAGCACTTCTAGGAGCTCTGGTAAGTCTTCTCCAAAAATTTTAGTTCATAAAATTAATTAGGAGATTTTATATTAATTTTTAAAGTGAACAGTGCACAAGTTAGGGTAGCAGGTTTAAAAACGCCAGTCCCCAGGGTGATGGGGAACATGTCTAAGGTTTTAACAGTGCCAATAAATGACAAAATATTCAGTAGTATCACTTAAATTATCTAGGCCCTGATAACCAAGCTGCTAAAATCTACACTCATCAAATCTCTAAGAAGTACACAATCAAGAATATTACAAAGCAGTACAGTACAATGTCATTTACCTGAACAGATTAGAGATGAACCTCATGGACATGGGACACATTTACTACATTCCTAGAATAAAATTAGGTACCTTATAAGGAAATAGTGAGACATACTCTTGACAGTTTGTCATTATGAAATTTGGATGTATGACTAAATTACAAGGTGCTTGTATCTTTTTGTTAGTTAAGTCACATCCCTTATTGTCATTTTCTGTGTTAGCCTGTTGATGTTTCCAAGTGAAAAGTTCAGGAAAAATAGCAACAACTTTCTAATGAAATGGAATGCCTTTTAATTTAGACATTTTTTTATTGAACATAAGATCATAAAATAAAACCTACAGCCAAAATGTTTTTACATTAATCTGCTACAGACAGTTCCACTACAAATTGCACAAATTACAACTCATCAAATAAGTACTGATGATACAGAATTAGGCCATGGCATTATTTATCACATTTCAGACTGACATCCCAAATGATACAGTCATAGATGGAAAAATATACATGTTCTAGAAGTTAAGAGTTTTAAAAACAATCTACATTATAAAAACAAATTTGACTATTTCAGGATTTGTGATTTTTTCATCTCTGTACCTACATAATAATTTGGACTGAATACATTACACCTAAGATTGTATCATTTTATTACTACTATTAAAAATTTGTAATGCTTCTACTGGAACAGTTTCCACACAAGAGAAGGGATGGGCCATAAACAGGCATAAACTTTGTACCACAAATAGATCAATCCTTATTAGTCTTAATGTAAGATGAGGGGTAAGGTCTTCTGGGATGTAACACCATATACAGAGAGAACCCAACAGTTCACAGGAACATATGGCCTCCATTTTCTAGGTTGAAGAGTAAGCCAAGCAAGAAACCAGCAGAAACAGGCAACATATTCCTTCGAAGCAACAGGCTCTCTCCATACTACACAGTGTTACAGCCAGTCACCAACATAACAATCTCAAATCCAAGATAGTGTAAGTTGTATGCATTATTACATAATGAAAAGCTGCATTAGAAATCTGTCATCTTATTTTTTATGACTATGCAACCTCATCACATTCGGTTAACAGGAGGATGTGTATGATTTAAGTAGACCATCAAATTGCCACCAGACATTTGAATATTAATCTGAAAATATACTAGGTATTCTGAGGAGAAATAACACATCAAAAGCACTCTGTTTAATGCACCTTAACATTTGATTGGTATGAAATGAGATTCTAAGAAATCAAACCATTTGCTGATAAAACCAAAATTGATTTTTTTAGATTTGTTTATGCTTATATACAAGACTATTCCCATCCCATCTTACAAGATCCATACACAGGCAAAATATCCAAAAATAAATACAGTGGAGCCACAACAGAACAGTATGGCTTATGATGAGAAATTCATTATAATCAGTTTCTTGTTATTACACATATGGAAAAATCTCATATAAAATTAGGACAGTTTTCTAACATATTTGTAATAACAAGCAATTCTTAGCTAACCACAACTTCTTGCACAAACTGTAATTGCTGGATTGGTTCCCAAGCCACTGCACCTGCCTTGTTTGGGAGGAGTCCAAATTCCTAAATCTGAGAACTGTTATGTGATCACTAGGCAGAAGTGTTTTGACATGCACATGCATACGAGGCCATTCAAATTCATGGTTGGAAAACCTTGGTTGTTGCTAGCAAAAGAAGTTATGTAAGCATGAGAAAGTCTTTTTTAACTTCTCAGTTCAGATAGAATCAAAGATGTTAAATTATTCTTCTTTACATTCATGTGTACATCCTAACCACTTCAGAGAACTTATGAAATGTTCACCCAGCATAACTATTGTGACATGTTGAGCTCTGAATGGCGGCAGAACTATTAGAGGTACCCGCACGAGACGCCGAAGTAATGCCGGTCGGAGAACCGAAGAAGAAAAGGCGCAGGGACCGACATCGACGAAATATAAAGAATTCGACACGGGAAAACTGTGGACCCTGGATGAAGTTGGCTGCCCCCTGCAGGAAGACNGGGGGGGGAGGGGCGTCATTCAGAGCTCAACATGTCACACTATTATAATGCTGTCATTCTGTTATTGCCTGCATACAGCATAACAGCATTTAGTTTAATTATATTAAAAACCATATGATACGGGAAAAGTGTATTGGGCATAAAATGTGAGTTCCCCTGTTATCTACAACTTCTGTTTAAAACAGTTTTTGTTCTAACAAATATTTAGTATGTTAGGTGCAAATTAAGCATGAGATGCATGCAGAAATGGATTTTAATTACATTATGTGTTTACTGTTGTTTGATTTTAACCAAAACTGCAATGTATCGACATGTTTTTTTTGGTGGAACTACATACCATATTTCACAGAAATCCATGCAGCAGCTCTCATGTTGATAGATGCTCATACAGACAGATGGACATACATGACAAACCTAATATGCATATTTTTGCAACTTTTCACTGCAAACAAACCAGCTAAAGTGAATATTTCTGCACTTGCATTATTCTCTTAAAACTTAGTGCCATATAATAATAAGTACAATTACAAGTTGGGCTAGAATATTATGAATTAAGTTTTGCAAATTACTGTTATATCAAGGCTGCACTGTAGGTCCGCAACATGAGACTGGCAAGATGCCCTTCACTGTGTTCAGAGATTAAGAACTCATGTTGAATAGCAAATAGATTACATAACATTTAATTAGTTTTGTACAGAACATAACAATCTCTAAACAATAAAAATGGCATTCAGAATAAATGATGTAAATCACTTATTTATGTATATTTGTTTGTAGTCTATTAATGGTGCTGTCAGTAACTCAGACTATATAGCATTAACATGTACATTCCTTAAAACTATTCCATGTTTTCATTGTCAAGAAGATAAAAATTTTACTGAACATGAGGCTGGATCAACTAAAATGAAACAGTAAGATCACATGACACATGAAGACACCTAGTTTCTACTTATGAGATATTTCGTGATTTGAGAACTAGAATCCTGGGACTCTGTCTTCTAGGAGTTCCCACAGGAGTTTCAGAGCCAAAACCAACTACAGCTTTCATTGGGGTTTGGAGACGACGGCCATTTTTGTTGGTGGATGGGGTGTTGCTCTGTGGTGTTTTGCAAAACTGACTTGGGGATTTAGTTAATAATGTTTTCTTAATGTATGGCATCTCCCTTTTGGTTCTATATACAGAGCAAGCCACCACAGATGTGTCTTTACCAGTCAGATGAGGAACTTGACTATTAATTCCAATCCTGTTGCAGTCTTTCAAAGGACACACAGATGTTTTACTCACTGCAGGAGAACACACTTCTTTGCATGTGTCTGACACAGAAGCTTCAGTGGAGAACTGATGATGAGGTTCTTCTTTCAAATTCACACCTCTCTGAGAGCTTGGATTCGGCTGCAAGTATGTATTATCAGATGGGGACAGAACATTCTCCTTCTCTGTACTTAACCAGTTAGTTGGAACTGTAAGATTTGCTTTAATGTCTGCACAAACTCTCTCCCGTGCTAGTTTCATGCTGTTGTGTTTTCTGCGAATTGCAGAGGCTGGACTTTCTGTGGACACTGGGTCTACCCTGGATGGTGACTTCAATACTTTTAATTTTTGTTTTCGGTGGGAACCATTTGTACTTTTCATTCTATGTCTCTGTCTAGGAGTTCCAATCTTCTTAGGACTATCTTTAAAATTATACTGCAAATCATCTACACCAGACTTTGCTACCAGTGGCGAACGAATCCTCTGAACTGACTTGCTATGACTTGATCTAAAGATGTTGGGTTTCTTGGCTGGGGCATCTATTAGGGATTGAGTTACCTCTGCATGACATGCAAATACATTTGGAACATGTACAAGTCCTTCTGCTTTAGCATCACCCATACATTTCTCTTTCTCATGATGTCCCACATTGCAGTTTTCCTTTGCATCAAATAACTTCATTCTTTCCAAAACCATACCAGCATTCTGGCTCCTTAACTTTGCTACAGAAGCTCTGCCTGTAATAGGTGCTTCGTCCTTTATGTTTTGCACACTGCTGAAGAAGACATCTGCCGTTTTCCATTCATCATTTTCTTTTTGTTGTTCTGTTATATCAATGTCAGCAATTTCTTCCAAATTCAATGAGTTGTGTACTGTAGTTTCAGGAATATCAACATAGCTGCTGGATTTCATAATATTTTTCAAAGATTTGCTTCTGAAGCTATGATTTCTGAATGTGCATTCAGAACCATGGAATGAGGAAGCCCTTCGAGCCTTTCTTCTCGTTATGGGGTCATCTGATTCCCTATGAAAATCAAGATACTGTGCCAAGTCAGTCATATTCATTATGTCATCATCCATGAGACAGGAATGATAATTCTGCAATATCTCTTTATTCTTATCCTCAGAGGGCAGTTCTTCCTCACACTTATGGGTTATTCCCTTGTTCATTTTGACAGTATTTCTTGGACTTGGTTGAGGCAAACCTGTAAATACTGTGTTGGGCCGGCCCCTCTTTAGATTACTACGTGGATAGAATTGACTAATCTGAGCAAGATTAGGTTGCACAGCCAAATGCCATGACATGTTTCTTGCTACCTCATTCTTTTCTGATGGCAATCTGAAGACAGGTTTTGCATTTTCCTTTGACCTGCGTCTAATAGTGCCAATTTTTCGTGCACTTGGTGATCTTATAACTTTACTCTCCAGACTGCGGCGAATCCTCAGCTCTCTGCTGAGTCGTCTGGCAAGGTGATCTGCAGAAGAATCACCTAATTTCTCAGATTCAACTAATGTTCTTTCATATGCATTCTGAACCAACTCTGCATTACTACTGACTTCAGTACTACAGGATACAGTTAATGAAGGAAGCACACTTGAGCCAGTGTCATTGGTAGATATCATGTTTCCAAACTCTTGTGATATTCTGTTCTCTATGGCAGAAACTCTGTTCTTAATGGCTTCATATTCACTCTTTGGGATACGAACAAACTCCATCTCAGGATGATCTGGTTCTGATACATGAATGGCACTCTCAGGCTCAATGACTTGAGTTTCATGACTGGATGTGCTACACAAATTTTCTGCTTGGACTAGTTCACCATCACTAGCGATATCAACACCAGGTCCAACTGGAGGTGAAAACATGGGGACATCAGATAGATTTAAATATTTCTTTCTGCCCCAAGGGCCTACACTCCAACTTCGCTCCAGAGAACCTCGACTTGAATGATCTGAATGGCAGCTTATGTCTGAACCAAATGGATTACCCACAACAGCCAGTTCTTCAGGTCTCTGAAAAATGAGTTCATGCAGTCAATGTGATATTTGTGAGAGAATTCTGAATCGTTTAGAGGTTCTAAAATACACACTGTACAAGTATACTATTCTAAATTAATGTATCCGAAACTTTACTCTTGCAGCATGCATTTAAGAGATTCAAAGTATAACTACAGCTGACTGCAGCACTTTCATGCATATCTTAGGCAGTATTGAACATTATAGCATAGTAAGTCCCTAGTTTACAGTTAATTTCTTCCAAAGGTTACCATGAAAGTTGAACTATGTACGTCCAACAGTGCTTAAATACAATATATTTTCTGTCATACATGATAATTTCATTGGACAGTTAACCTAAAAATGTAGGTACAAGAATGTATCATAACACAACATATTATAATTATAATATGTTGTGTTATGATACATTCTTGTACCTTGTACATTCTTGTACCCTACCGCATGCCCCTATACATTATAATGTATAGGGGCATGCGGTAGGGTAGTTGGTTGAGGGGCTATGCTACAAGCCGGAAGGTCGTGGGTTCAAGTCCTGATCAGGTCACTGGATCTTTTTCAATTGACCTAATCCTTCCAGCCACACTATGGCCCTGGGGTCAACTCAGCCTCTAACAGAAATGAGTACCAGGAATTAATTAAATAATTTTCCTCGGGTGTAAAGCACGGCCAGCGCATAAGGTTGACAACCTTACTGCCATCTTTGAGCCAATTGTCTAGATAATGTGGGTCCCTCAACGTTTCACAACCCTATGGGCCTTCACGGCCTGGTACAGGGATAGCTTTAATGTACTAATAGTAATAATAGTACTAATGAGAGTAGTAGTCGCAGTACTCAAATCGATTAAATAATAATAATAACAATGGCATGTAGACCCATTGCTAGACAGTGACCACAAAACAAGTAACAAACAGTAACGAGAGAATACTTCAATAATGGAAAAGATGTTTTCTATGCAGTCCATGCTGAGATTTTAGAACCAGGACAAGTTAGCTGCTGCAATTAGATAAATGCTGGGGTTCAGTCATGGTAACCTGTTGCTGTCAGAAGCAACAGCAGTGTGTGTGTGTGTGAGAGAGAGACAGAGATAGTGAACTGCAAAATGTAGTCACACACAGTATCAAAGAATCCATTAAATCCAAAACCCGTCTACAGTCACACTCCATGCACATGAGAATTGGTATCACACTTGAAAATCAAAGAGGCATTCCAAACTAAATATAAATTTAATAGTCAACTACTTATTTAGAATATTTTCTAAATATTTTATGACATGGTGAATGAATCAGGATGGGCTATAAGGTGGATGGCCTGGGTTCAGTTCCCACTAGGAAAAGATCTTTTCCACATTGTTTGGACCAACTCCCAACCTTCTATAAAATGGGTACCAGGAGATCTTTCCCTCGGGGTAAAGCGGTAAGGGTGTGAAACTGACCACTGACCTCCATCTAGTGTCAATGTCAAGTAAGGTGGAGCTATACCTCCACTCCCCCATTTATCTGCATGGAACAGCGCTTAACTAATTAAGCACAGAGACAACTTCAACTTTTCTACCACATGGTCCAATAAAGAAAATGATAACTGTGACCCAAAAACAGATATTGAAAATTTTAGGAAATAATTTTATTTGCTTTCAACTAACATCTTTTGTAAAATATATCTACTGCGTGTCCACGAAGTCCCATTGGGGTTTTGAAAAACTGTAGCAAGCAAACAAATTGAGCTAGCCACATGCGGTTTGTGGCAGATCATAGCGAAACTCTAGAAGCCTTTATTGACCTCAGTAAACCTTGATGTGGGCTTCCTTGGTAGCACGGAGAATGTCCAAACGATATTCGAGCTCTTGCCATGTTCTGTGAAGCATGTCCGCTGGAATAGCCGAGATCGCATTCCTGATATGGGTCTTCAGGTCATCAAGTCCGTTAACACTTTGCGAACTGGCAATTTAAATATTTAAATCACCCTGGGGACCGGCAGCGGCCTCCGTAGTCTAGAGGTAACGTTCCCACCTCATGACTCGTAGTACGCGGGTTCAAATACCCGGCGGAGGTCGTTGAATTTTTAAGGGCGGAAAAATTCAGGGAACAAGTCCTCCGGGAGGGACTTTAAGCCGTGGGCCCCGTGTCGTAGCTTTACGGCACGTAAAAGAACCTCATA